AAGTTCAAAGGAGTAACTTCCCCAAAGTGAGATGCAGACAATGGCAGGCTGAATCTAGAATTGAAGACTCCTGACTTCTAGTTCAATGCTATTTCATTTATAATATGTACCTCTTCTACCAAAAGGGTAGAAGGTCTCTCAAGCCATTCAAATCCCATACTTCAAAATTAATGTATACACCCTTCTGATGAAGCTTTAAACAAAATATTATCTTTCCTATGTAACGCATACCAATCAAGAGATACAACCAATAAATGTCTCTTGTGAAAAGTATCCATTAAAAAAATGAGTGTAGGGATGCCTGGGTGGCTCAGTCGGTTGAGCGTCTGCCTTCGGCTCAGGTCATGATCTCAGGGTCCTGGGATTGAGTCCCGCATCCGGCTCTCTGCTCAGCAGGGGAGTCTGCTTCTCCCTCTCCCTTCCTCCCTGTTTGTGCTCTCTCTCTCTAATAGATAAATAAAAGTGATGGATTTTAAAAGTCCTCTTTCTTCCTTCCCCTCCTAGACCAATGGTTCTAACTATGACCTCCAGAGCAGCAGCAACAATAGCAAATCACCTAGAAATCTGTTAGAAATGCAAACTCTCGGGCCTCACCCAGACCTACTGTATCATAAACTCTAGGTATGGAGCCAGCAATCTGGGTTTTAACAAACCCTCCAGATAATACTCATGTACACCGGAGTTTGAGAACCATGGTCCTAGACTGTCAATGCTTTGAAATATTTGCATCTGTTTCTCTATGTACACAAGCTTTCCACAACTTGTCATTTTACGAATGCCTTCTCCATACTAAATTAACTGGACTGCTAGAATATATTTTTAATGACAAGTTTCACTTAGTCCTGTCCAGTGTTCCATGAGTTTTGGCTCATGCAGAACAAACATAAAACTTTAGATACAAATTGCTATTAATTTAATAGTTAGCCTTAATTATCACATTTCACTGACTCTATATCTATAAAAATTGCATTTAAAAAAAATCTTTTGTCTTTCTCATAATGAAGTAACATACCTTATAATACAGTATTTTATTCTTATACAATAATACTTCGTATGTGGAGAACTGTACTACTTTTTATGTCCTATGTTCTCTATAAACAAAAATCCTAAATACTTGAGGGTACAAGTTTTCTAATTTTAATTATTTAATACTTATTCTTTTGCCCAGTTTCTACAGGTTGCACTGTAGAGCTAATGTGCCAGCAGGTACAGGTCTTGCATTTCTTTTTCTTTCTTCTATTGTCTGATAACAAATGTAAGTGGGAATGCTAGGAACTGTTAAAAGGAAGTAAATGAATTCTTTGTCTCACTCTGCACAGATGTGCTGAATTCACATTTCCCAAAGGAGAAATAAGATATTCAAAAGGAAATAAGGGTCACAGTATATATAACAAATGTTTAAGGAATCAGGATATATGAACTACAAGGTCAGGTGGCTTGCTCCTCAGAATTCTGAATGATGTGGTAAGAAAGGAAAACGTCGAAGGCTAGATGGTAATCTAGGACACACGGTACATATTTCGACAAGTCTACAGCTGCATTAAACAAAGATGTGCCTACTTGTTTGAAGTTAGAATTTGGCAATTAGTAATCTATTTAAAACCTTTCACAAATAGATGGTAAAAACGGAAGTATGTCAGTACTTAACATTTTAGGAAAAGTAGGAAAATTTTTAAAAATTGGAATTTAAAAGTATCAATATTTAAAATATAAAGTTAACAACAGAGAGAGAGAGAGAACGCTTATAATACTGTTGTGGGTTTTTTTTTTTCAGGCAAAAACAGAAAAAGGAGGGGGAGGAAACATCCCCAAAGTTGAAACTAAAATATCTGAATTACAGAGATACCCATAGACATTTTAGCCAAACAACAATAAGGTTTTCAAACAGACAGATAACCTGTCAGGTCAATAAGAACAGTATGCAGCAGGAGCCACTTCAATGGACTGAGACTGGACTGGAGGCAAATCCCACAGGCAGCCTATTTTTCTAAGTGCCAAATAAGAATGACAAAATTGTAAGAAGTCTATAAGAAGGATGAAAAGAAATTATTAAACACCTTTATAAAAACCTACTTGATTTAACACAGTTTGTCATTATACCCAGAATGCAAAGAAGAAATGAACAGACTCTAAAATAGAGAAGAAAACGCACAGGAGAAATGATCAAGATCAAAACTCTAGTCCTTAACAGTTGAAACCACCACAGATTATAAAATTATGTATGGAGGGGATTCAAGTTATGATTTAATATTTATATGACAAACATCACTGTTAAAACATATCCCAGGATCAATAAAGCCTACGACTTCTCTAAACAGTTCCTCAGAGTTCTGCATTTAAAAGGTACTGTCTTTAATCTATTTCCTATGACCAGCTTGGTAGGTAGGTAGTCACCTGGAAAAAGAAAGCAAACCAATTTCAAATCAAGCAACTGAAAGGAATCTGTGCTAATTTTCACAAATGAACAAAGAAAACTTCCCAGAGAGCCAAATACCAAAAAATCACAAACAAAAGCTTTATAGTTTATACCAGTGTGATAACAATTAGCATATCCCAAATGATAACCTTACAAATTGCCATACAAGAGAACAGTTCAACTGTATATTAAGATAAGGTCAAATGACTTTTGCAACCAGACAAAATATCGCATCCCTGTGTGTTTGATTTTAAACTGGAGCCCCTTAGAATATTAAAGTTATTAAAAGCTCTAGGGGACAGAGGAATGATACAAATGACATATTGTAGTTTCATCAAACATTTGCAACTAATACACAGTGGCTCTGTTCTTGGAATGAGGCCAGTGTATTTTTTTTTTTTAACAGAAAGATTTAGGATAGTAAGCAACTAGAAAACTTTTAAAATATTTTAGAAAGAAATTATACAGGGCGCCTGGGTGGCTCAGTTGGTTAAGCGACTGCCTTCAGCTCAGGTCATGATCCTGGAGTCCCTGGATAGAGTCCCGCATCGGGCTTCCTGCTCGGCAGGGAGTCTGCTTCTCCCTCTGACCCTCCCCCCTCTCATGTGCTCTCTCTCTCTCTCATTCTCTCTCTCAAATAAATAAAATCTTTAAAAAAAAAAAAGAAATTATACAGTCCTTTAAATCTTGCTAGGAAAAAGAAATGGAGGTGTAAAAAAGAGGGGGAAAACCAAGTTTGCTACCACCTGCTCTCATTAAAAGGTATTTTTTTTCACATTTACTTTTACAGTTTTCTTTGAAAAATACTGTCCATCTATTCATCCCTTAGAGAATAATTAAGCACAATATTAAAAGAAAAACCAACCAAAGAAAACAAACCTATATAAACCTGAAGGAAAAATTAATCGATCCAGATGTTTATGAAGGTTTATGAAAGCAGAATAGATGGGATAAAATTTTTAAAGATAAAAGAGCAAGCTTTCTGATATATATTTTCCCAAAAGTGGATGGAATTATAAGATAAGCATCTAAACAGTTCTTAATTAAAACAAAGAGGAATGCCCGTGATTCAGAGCAACAATAGGTTGCCCATTCCCAAATAACCTATGAAGCCAGGCTTGCTTAAAGAGGGTAACTGGTAAGGTTCTCATACTAATTTTTTGGATAATACCTTTAGATACATTTTCCACTGAAAAAGAAATGAGTATGAGAAGTGTTCTGTTGTTGAAATGAAATGTTTCTGGCTTCGATCCTTCCTAATGTTCTCCCTTTCCAGTTCTCCTCATCTCAATCCAGAAACCTCTCCATGCAGAGTTCATGCATTTTCCTTCTCTCTTTTAGTGAAAATACACCACATTGATTGTAAGAATCTTACTAGATTTCCATTTGTTTTGCCTCAGCTCCTACATTAATCCAAACAATAAGGGCCTTTAAAACATTCATAAATAACCTGCTGCTGCTGGCACCTAGGAGCCGAGTGCTGCAATGTTAAGCAACAACAAATTTCATAGTTCAAGAGGCACAGTTAAGGAAAAAGGTTGCTCAGGAAATCACTCTTATTTAGCACAAAGATCCTTAAAAATTGCATGAAATCAGTCAAGTAACTATAGAAACCAATTTCTTCAGCTCCATATCACACGTCTCACACCTCAATTGTCTTTATTATCGTCTGCTGTCAGATCCTTAATCAGAAATGTGAACAGGCTTGATGATTTATTCAGCAGGGAAAAGAATCTGTAGGTCAAGTGAAAAATTTCACACACACACACACACCCAAACACACACCACATCTTCAACCTTAGGTACTTTCATTTCCTTCTGTTCTCAGCAGCTCTGGGGGCAACTCCAGTGAGATCCAATATTAAGCCTCAATTAAAATAAGCTCCAATTAGTGGAGCTTTTTTCTCTGGGGCTAGAAAAGTCAGGAAATGGATATTGGGAAATGTAAAAAGTCAGCTACTGAGAGGAGGCTGCAGACATAAATGAACTTATTTGTTGATTTCTACAGTTGCTATGCAGAGGCCTCTGGGAGTAAAAGCTTAACCAGTCTAAGCTATAAACTAAAACCCCTGCAGCTAAACATGAACTGTGTGAAACAAGGGCTCCATTCCAGAACAGAAAACTGCTGGGCCCAGAAAATTAAAAGCCAGAGGCGTTTTCCATTTAAAACTAAATCCCAGTACCACCTCCCAGCCAAAGAATTATAAGCAGTATCAGATTTACAAAACGAACAATTACCCTGGAAAAATGTAGCCTATTGTACAGTCCCAGATGCTAAATCTCAGAAGTTTCTTTTTCTTTTTCTTTTTTTAATCCCACGTTATATTCCTCCAAGTACACTGCTGCAGTTTACAAAGAGCCATTTCTAGACAGGCCTAAGCCTTGAAAATAAATTTTAAAAAGAGAGCACATAACTCATTGACCTCATTTGAAGTACTGCCCTTGCCTTCAGCAGTTCCTGTCCTTCCCCAAGGCTTCTGCAAATGGTATGCAGCAGCAAAATAAACCCTGACCTAATTGCCAGGAGAGAGCTGCCAACCTTCCCTCCAACACAAAGACAAGCATGGTAACTTGAAAGTCCTACCTCTTTGGCTTTCTGCTTTAATCTCAGCTGTTCTGGATCTTCTTTATTGGAACGACTCTATCAAAAGAAAAGAAAATTTTAATAGAAATTACTAGCATCTAAACACCATAGTTGCTGTTAAATATTTAATAAATGACAATTTTCTCTTGTGATTGAAAACCTTAGCTCCAGGGAAAAATGCCTCAATCCAGTCTGGTGCACTCCCTCCTTTACGCCCCCTCCCTCTCATCATCTGGGCTGGCTGCTGCAGTTCTAGCCCCAAGGAAGCTTATACTGAAAATGATGCTAACAATGTCAGTCAGGTCCAGTTGAGGCATGACGTTGTTCTTGTTAGAACACTAAAAACTAAAAAACGGATGGTACAGATGAAGGAAAAGAAAAGAAGGATAATTGCTGGCTCAAAGAAGGAAAGCAATCAACACTGGCTAATCTTCAGATAAAGCCATTTTGGGAAAACATGTTATTTCAAGGACTATTAAAATCAAGAACCTCATAGAGTGATGTATGAAATTGTTGAATCACTATATTGTATACCTGAAACTACTATAACACTGTATGTTAACTGGAATTAAAATAAAAACTTAAAAATAAATAAATTAAGATAAAATCAGGAGTCTGACTTTGAACCAAATCAATCTCTTTAAAAGTATAATTCTCAAAAACTAAGTAGGAAATACATCGCAATGTTTTCATTAGAGTATCTTGTCATCTTTGGGTCCTCCACAGCATTTAATTGAATGCTATGCACAAGTAAATGTCCAATAAATGTTATTCAATACTGTTTTCCATACTGATTCAGTTCAACATTCAAAACTGAACAATCTAACAGGACTGCTATTAAGGAGAGAGCTATCTTCTATACATGCAATGCTATGATGAAACAAGTGGTAAGGAACTTCATTTCTGACACTATGAACATTTGTCCACTGAAAAATATGCTCAGGAGTATTCTTTTTTTTTCATTCTAACAAAGTTATCTAAGTCCTTATAAATCTGAATATTTGTTCTATAAAATGCAACATCAGCTAATTAAGTATAGCTAGCAAAATAAAAGCTAAAAGTATTTTCTTATTTACTAAGTTTACTTGATACATTTTACTGATGTATCAGTACTTTTATTAAAGGGAAGTACAAGAAAGAAATCATTTAGATTTAAGAGTGCCTTGTAATTTTTTTTTTAAGATTTTATTTATTTATTTGAGAGAGAGAGAAAGCACAAGTGGGGACGGCGTTGGGGGACAGAGAGGGAGAGGGACAAGCAGACTCCCCACTGCACAGGGCTTGATCTCAGGACCCTAGGATCATGACCTGAGCCGAAGGAAGCTGCTTAACTGACTGAGCCACCCAGGCGCCCCAAGAGTGTTTAAATTAAATTTAAATAAGGCTACCAAAAGCTAGTAACTTTTTTCTTCATTTTGTCCTCTATCTACTAATACAACTTAACCCAAACTAAGATAAACTCCTTTATTATTCCACCTATATGAGACAATAAGCATGTATATAAACGTATTTATCTTAAAAATGTGTATGTATGTATATACATATACATTTTGAGTGTATGATTTTTGCCCCAGTATGAAATGAGCATATTTGAATATCAAGTCTTTATCACTTAACCAATATTTATTGATTATTCATAGATAAATTCTACTCTGTGTGCCTCTATTCTGAGTCTGGAGATACAGAAATGAAATAGTAAGACAAAGTCTCTGCTTTCAAGTGACATATTTTAAGAAGAGAAAAACAGCAAAAAATTTTATAAAAATTAAATACACTTATGATATGTAAAACATTTATGATGGGGAAAAACTTTAAAAAACAATTATTGATAGTTGCTAAGTGCTATAAAGAAAATTGGACAATGTGACAGAAAGAAGAAGGAGTGTGTGTGGTAGGGGGTACTTCTTTAGCAAGGACAGGAGAGAAGACATCTGAAAAGTGACATGTGAGTCGAGCTCTGAAAGACAAGGAGGCAGCCACGCAAAATTCTGGGGGAAGAATACTCCAAGCAAAAGGCACAGTCATTGCAAAAGCCTTAAAATGGGAACAAGCTTGGTAAAACTGAGGAAAGAAGGAAGGTCCGTGTGGCTGGACCATGAGAAAAGTTGAAAGAGATAAGGTTGGAGACCATGTAGGCCAAGATACAGAGTTGAGGTTTAATTCTAGTCATAAAAAAAAGCCACAAAAGGGCTTGAAACACAGGAGTGAGATGCCACGGCTCTGACACTTTAGAAAGAGCACTCTGGCTGCTATGCAGCGAATGCAGCACTGTAGGGATCCGAGATCAGAAGCACAGGCTTACAGAACAACTCAGGAGACTGCTCTAAAACAACTGTGGTTTTAGAAAAAGATAAGGGAAACTTGGACTAATGTCATAGCAGGTAAGATTAGGTTGAAATATATTTTGGAGGCAGAGCCAACTAGATTTATTGATGGACTGGATATAGGGTATGAAGTAAAGAGGAGAATTGAAGAAGATTTCCTAGGATTCTAGCCTAAGCAATTGGAAAGAAGAGAATACCAACTTTCTAAGACGGTAAAGGCCAAAGCAGATGTAAGACATGGGACCTCAACTTTCAGGTTGAATTGACTAATTAGCAGTCTATCATGCACACTTGGCACCCTCAAAGGTCAGTGTGACTGGAGCAGAGCGAGTAAAGAAGGGAGGGATATGAGTGGTGGGTGGGTACTTTTTAAAATCTGGTAAGAAGTTTGGATTTTAAGTGTAAGAGGAAGTTACTAAAGGCTTTCAAGTAACAGAGACATGCATGATTTGTTATGAAAACATTATTCTGACAAAAGTATGAAAAACGGATTGTAGAAGGAAAAGGAGATCAGTTAGGGGACATTATAAAAGTCCAAGCTGGGTCTGGAATAAATTGTGCCAGAAAGTAAGGGTAAGGGCACCTTGGTGGCTCAGTCAGTTAAGTATCTGCCTTCCGTGCAGGTCATGATCCCAGAGTCCTGGGATCAAGCCCCACATCGGGCTCCCTGCTCAGCGGGGAGTCTGCTTCTCCCTCTCCCTCTCTCCCTAGCTTGTACTCGCTCAAATAAATAAATAAATAAATAAGAAAGACAGAAAGTAAGGATAAGCTCAGTGAATGATGGAAACATGAGTAACAGATGTACCAGTTGGAAGGGTCTCCTACTCAGGAGGACTTTGAGTATCAAAATAAATAATGATAGTAATGGATTATAACCTATTGAATCAAACAGAAATCCAAAGCCCATTTTGATATCAATGAATACATGAATGAATGAATAAAAAGAAAGGAAAGCTCTTCCACATACAATGCTAATAAATGTAGAATATGATGAGAATTAAAAAATTACCATTTTACATTTACGAGTAGTGTCCATCATAGAAGTGGCTGACTTAGGTAGATATCATCTATGGGCACTAAAGTTGATACATGGAGGTTTGGTGAGGAAGGGGATATTGGTATAATCTTGAAATAGCTTCCTGTGAAAAACTGATTACAAAAGGGAAAATGGTGAATATGAAATGGAGAGAATTGGAAGGCACCCACACAGCTGGGTGATCAAGGTTGCCTTTTGATAGGATCAGCTGAGAAGAATGTATTATTCCTGCCACAAATTCATTACCTAAGTCATGAGGAAATATCAGATGAACCCAGGAATTATCAGTCACCCTACAGATAGTAAGGCCTGTACTCTTAAAACCTGTCAAAGACATGAAAGAGAAAGTAAAAAATCTGACTAAAGGAGTCTGAAAAGAGATGACAGTTGAATGAAACACACATTGCTGAATGGGAAAATAGACCAAGAAGGAAAAAGAGCCTGGGCTGAGAGAGTTGGTGAAATCTGAATGGGGTCTGTGGATTACATGGCAGTGTTATATTGTTCACATCCTGACTTGGTGGGGTTATACAGCAGAATGTCCTGTTTGGAAAGTAAGCTTCAGAGAAAGGCTAATTAGACATGATAGTTGCACAACTGTAAATATACAAAAAACCCTCTGAATTAAAAGAAACAAAGGAGAACAAAGGGATGAAAGAGAATAATAATGATAAGGATGTGTGTGTGTGTGTGTGTGTGTGTGTGTGTGTGTGTAAATGCAGGGATGGAGAAAATGCAGTAACATGTTAAAAATGGGGGCATCTGAGAAAAGGAGATGAGGATTCTTTATATAGTTCTGACTACTTTCCTGTAAGTATGAAGTACTTCAAATTAAATTAATTTTTTAAAAAAGTGATTAGTATACGAAATACTCTAAAAGGGGAGGCTGCCAATAACACTAAAAAAATTTTTTTTAAAGATTTTTTATAATATTTATAAATAATAAATAAATATTTATTTATTTGACAGAGAGAGAGACAGCGAGAGCAGGAACACAAGCAGGGGGAGTGGGAGAGGGAGAAGCAGGGCTTCCCGCCGAGCAGGGAGCCCGACCCGAGGCTTGATTCCAGGACCCCGAGATCATGACCTGAGCCAAAGGCAGACGCTCAGCGACTGAGCCACCAGGCGCCCCAATAACACTACAAATTAAAACTAAGGTGTTTAAAACCAAAAAATCAGTCTAGTGCCCAACCTTTATGACTACTCGCAAAGGCCCTATGACTATGGAGAAATGTGAAGCAACAAAAGGCAAACCACAGTGCAACTAGCTTTCACCCCTTTTGACACTATAGTCCAGGAAAATGTTTCAGTAAAGAAGAAAGAAAATATATTTATATATAAGATAAACATCTTCTTACCTGTTCTTTTATTCTCCAACCCATTTCTGCTCATCCTATATTTTGTTCCATATAATCCTAATTAATCCTAATTTTACCCATAAATTTCCAAACTTTCCTCTCTCTAGTTTAACTTGGCACATATCAAATTATATCCCTAAAAAGACGTTGAATATTTTTAAAAACATTTTTATTTGGGGGGTGCCCACTCAGTTAAGTGCCCAGACTCTTGATTTCAGCTCAGATCATGATCTCAGGGTCTTGGGATCAAGCCCCGCCTGGGGGTCTGCACTTGGCGGGGAGTCTGCTTGAGATTCTCTCTCCCTCTCTCTCTGCTCCCTCACCCCCCACCACTCTCTCTCTCAAATAAATAAATCTTTAAACAAACAGATTTACTTGGGGGTGGTAGGTATGATCCTAGGCACACAGAACTGAGAATGAGGAGACAAAAGATTATATCTGATTAAAATAATTAACTGAAAGTCACTGTTCCACACCATTCTGGCTACGAGAGATTTTATTAATAATTTCATTTAAAGAAATCCTTCAGAGAAATCTAAAAGCCTAGCAGAAACAAGACAGTTGGCTAACAATAAAGCCAATTCTAACCTTGCCAGGTCATGTTCAATCATAAATCACGTAGGCTCTTACCTTGGCTACCCTAAGTAACATTTCTCTTTCTTCTAAATCCTTTCTCTGCTTCTCCAATTGATCTAGCTTTTCGAGAAATTTGAGCTGTGATCTGGTATCACTAGACAGGATGTAATTTTCACTTGCCTGGAAAAAAAGGAAACAGAAAGTCTTATGATGGTCCTAGGCAAAACATTCTACATTAGGTCTTATAAATCAGCTAACGACAATACTAACATACATAGGGAGCTAAATTTTCAGGATATAATATTTATATTTCTAATAATACAAACAACAAAAAAGAACCTTAGTCATCCTTAAAAGTTGAGAGGTAATTAAGCATTTAAATTTCAGAGCTTTCCTAGTAGGCCTCATTCAGAGGGGATAAAGAGAAGCCAAGCAGATCCTAACAATAGGAAGTAGAAAGCAAGAGAGTGTAACATGTACCTATAATCTAAATCTTTTTAAATTACTGTCTGTCTCTGGAGACCTTAGTATAATTAATTAAATCTTAGGCCTATGAAAGACAAAACAAAAAACCAATCGCCTCACTAAAAAATACACCAAAGATGAAAGTTATCACCCTTGTTTCCACTGCTGGATTGGTCTAACCTTGGCAAGTGAGTACATTTTCAATCAAAATGTAACATGAGATAAAATGGCAAACATTTAAAATCCTAAACCTTGTTTTGAGGATTCCTTTAAGCTATGAACTTGGGCAGAAACTATAGTCAAAGAAATTAAGTATACAATTTATAAATGAGAGCCATAACAGAGAAGTATAATTATTTGTCTTAATTTGCTCCATAAAATGATAAAATTTACAGTTTCATTTACTCTGATATTCTAGAGTATAAGACAATGCTTTCCAATTTAAATATTTTGTAATTTTCTTCATCTGATACGATCACCTATCTCTAATACACATGAGACGGAGGCGGGGGTTGCAGTGGTGGGCAATCTTCCCAATCAGCATTTGAGACATCCTGCCATCTACAGTCATCTCAGTAATTCAGACATTTAAGCTATGGGATGGAGATTGGGGAAGACTGTATAATAGGAAAACTGAATGTTTTTAAACATTTAGTCTAACAGTCAGTGCCTGGCTTAGAATCATAGGTATAGCACCAATCCCATCTTTGTTTCATCCCATGCTTATGGTTGATTCACTTAACTGGGACCAAGAGATTTCATATGCTCAAGATTCCTTCTAAATTAAATTTTTATTGTTAGTATTTAACTAGATCAAAAGAGTATTACATAGTATAACGAACAAGGATGTATTAGTGCTACTTATTTTAATTCATGTTTAATACAAAACGAATTCTCAAATGCTTTTAAAGTTAAATAATACAAGATAGAATATGGAATACATTATAGGCCAACCATGAGGCATAAACATAATAACCTGTGGTTTCTTAAATACTTCATCTTTACCATGTTTGTGCTCAGATACTCTGGAGATAGTTTACTGACAGAATTTAATTTTAAAAGGACAAAAAACACTAAATTAAAAAGGAGCACAGACTTTCTAAAATTTAACCCCATACCATCCCTGTGCTAAGATCCCTTCTCCTTCTCCCAACTTTGATACAACTGCCTCTGGCTTAATGCATCCTTCCTTTATTCTTACAGATGCTAAACAAATGAATGCCTCCCCTATTCTACCGATTCCCCAACCTTATTTAAACAACAGTAACCCCAATCTTAAAATACTGCTTCCTGTCTACCAACCTGGTCTAACTGAAGTCTTTATGAACCACTAAATAGGGTGGGTTTTTTTTTTTTTAAGAATTTATTTATTTATTTGAGAGAGAGCAAGCTAGAGAGAGAGCAGACAAGCAGGGGAAGGGGCAGAGGGAGAAGCAGACTGCCCACTGAGCAGGGAGCCTGATGTGGGGCTTGCATGACCTGAGCGAAGGCAGACGCTCAATCAACTAAGCCACCCAGGAACCCCTAAGTAGGGTGGTTTAACAATAACAATATAAGGACTCAGACCAAATGATAACAGAGCAAATCAAGCAAATCACATCTAAAGAAAGCACTACAGCCCCTTTCAACTAGAAAACACTGAAAGGGCACCTGGGTGGCTCAGTCGGTTGAGCATCCAACTCTTGATTTCGGCTCAGGTCATGATCTCAGGGTCCTGGGATCAAGCCCCACAACAGGCTCCTTGCTAAGTGGGTAGTCTGCTTGAGGCTTCTCTCTCTCTTTATCCCTGCCCCCCAACAGCTTGCACATGCATACTCTCTCTCTCTCTCTCTCTCAAAAATAAATAAATTAATTTAAAGAAAAGAAACACTGAAGCTTTTCCACAGTCACTGGTATGCAGAAGACGATAATACACCTTCAGTGGGAAAACACCTGGCAACAAGATCAAAAGCTTTGTATTGCATGTGTCACTTTCTACTTCTTTCTTAAATCTGTTTATGGACTATGATTAATTAGATAATTATATATAAACATGTGAAAGATTATCAAAAGCAGATGGATGTCAAATGCAAAGAGATGGTGAAATTTTGCTTTTAATAAAAATAAGCTCACTTTTGTGAAATTCGTGGGATAAAATTTCCCACACTGTACAGAAAAAAAAGTCCTATCAGGGACGAACTGAAATATAAGGACAGGGCTAAATCTGTGACACAATGATTATTATAATATCAAAGTCTACAAAATAAGTATAATTTTGAACTAGATCCAAATATAACTAAATGGTTATTACTTCTGTTTAAAGAAGAATAATAATGTAGTTACAAATTTAGACAGTGGCATTAACTGTATTAAGGAATGAGTGTGGGGAAAGGCAGGCTGGGGAAAATCAATCAGGATAGGCAGTGTATAAAACAAAAGGTTAAGGAAGTGTTAGCTTTAAGCTAAGTTACTGAGGTTCCACGTGGGGTAGATATTATCCTTTTTGCCTATGGCAACTAAATCCTTAGAACATATGCTATTGATATACAACAGAAGAACTCCATCTGAAAGCTGGAACACACAATAGAGATTTGGAGGACACTCAGAACAGTAAACCCTACTTGGAAAAATTCTATTCCATACTAAATTGTACAGTTACATTTTATATAGAAACTGCCTATTGTAAATAAAAGTGCACTCATGTATCTCTGAAAATATACAATTGAGGCGGGAATAGGAGAGAATCCAGGTTTGAAAAATTGTAAGACGTTACAGTAAAAACCCAAAAAGGAAGAAAATTTTTCCCACATCCCAATATTAAAGGAAAACTGATTATCAAGCCAAACTAGATTATTACAAATTTAGGATGTTAATTGTAATCCCCAAGATAACCACCAATAAAATATCTAGAAACATATACACAAAAGGAAATGAGAAGGGGATCAAAATAGGATATAACAACAACAAAAATCAAGCCAAAAAGGCAGTAATGACGGAAATGAGGGACAAAAAAAAAAAAAAAAGCTACAAAGGATACAGAAAATAGTGACGTAGCACAAGTTCTTCCTTATCAGTAATCACTTTACATGTAAATGGAATAAACTACCCAATCAAAAGGTAGAGACTAAAAGAATGCATAACGAACATGACCGACTACAAGCTGTCTATAAGAGATTCACTTTGGATGAAAGGACATGAATAGACTGGAAGTGAAAGGACGGGAAAAAAATTTCATGCAAATAATAACCAAAAAAAGCAGAGGCGGCTACACTAATATCAGGTTAAATAAACTTTAAGTCAAAAATTGTTAAAAGAGATAGAGATAAACAAGGGGGCCCTAGGGGGCTCAGTCAGTTGAGTGTCTGACTCTTGATTTCTGCTCAGGTCATGATCTCGGTCGTGGGATGGAGCCCTGTGGTGGGCTCTGCACTAAGTGGGGAGTCTGCTTGAGATTGTTTCTCTCCCTCTCCCTTCCTCTGCCTTGCCCCACCCCACTGTCACCTTCTCTCTTTCTCTCTCTCAAATAAATCTTTTAAAAAAAGAGATAAACAGGACATGATATATTGACAAAAGAGTCAATTCATCAAGAAGATATACATAACAGACAACAGAGCCCCCAAGTGTATGAAGCGAACATTGACAGAACTAAAAAGAGAAATATGGTTCTACAGTAACAGCTGAAGTCTTCAATACCTCCCTTTCAATAAGAAGAATACCTAGACAGAAGATCAAGAAGGAAATAGAGGACTTAACATTAAAACCCAACTAGATCCACCAGACTTTTATGAACATTCCACCCAACATAGGAGAATACATGTTCTCCTCAAGTGCACATCGAACATTCTCTAAGAGAGATCATATGTTAGGCCACAAAACAAGTCTACATAAATTTAAATTGACTGAATCACATAAAGAATCTCCTTTGCCCATACGGAATGAAGCTAGAAATCAACAATAAAAGAGAAACTGGAAATTTCACAAATATGTGGAAACTAAAACAATATACTTTCAAACAACCAATGGGTCAAAGAAATCTCAAAGGAAATTAGAAACTACTTAGAAGTAAACGAAAACAAAAACACAATGTACCTAAACTTATAGAATGCAGCGAAAGCAGTGCTCAGAGGGAAATTTATAGCAGTAAGTGTCTACATTAAAAAAGGAAGATCTCAAATCAGTAACCTGCTTTATACTTAAAGGAACTGAAATAAAAAATGAAAGTGGGGTCATTACTGCTGAACTTACAGAAATAAAAAGGTTTGTAAAGAAATATTATAAACAATTGTAGGCTAACAAAACAGGACCTAGAAGAAATGGACTAATTCTGAAAACACACAAAAAGAAATAACTGGTACTGTTTTTTTCCCCCATAGCCTTTTCTCCTGATGATCACTTATTTTTAAGTCAGTCTTGCAAATTCTCACAAAAATTTATACAAGTGAGGACCTCAGCAATTATAAATAGTTCTTCCAAAGTTCTAAATAAAGCAGAAAGTAGAGAAAATAGAATGATTCCTCCAGGGAACTTACCAGTGATATGGTAGCTGCTATTTCTCTGAGTTCCTTTTAACTTATGGGTAGGACATTCTGACAATGACCATTCTCACAAACTCAAAACCTCATAAGGTTACCCACATACCATGATGCACAAAATCTAGTTACCAACATTTCTTGGTATGGGGGAAAAGGTTATCTTTTTTATTTTTTAATCTCTCATCATCCAATAAATTTGCTTTCCACCAAAACCATAATACAAATAAATCAAGTGCTTTCACCTTGATGATGGCAAGTGATTTGGTTCATACCACTAAAGACAAGACCCATCCATTTAATTTGTCTAAAAAGCAGTGGCACCAGCATTCGCACTCAATACCATTATTTAACTTATTAAAAGGAACAACAGTGCTAACAGGGCACAGAGCACTGAAGAGAACACAGCTATCCGTATTCCATTCTAATATATTTTCCTTGCCAATCAAAAGCTGTAGGAAATGTCTCAGGCAGAACAGATGCATATCTCAATCTACACTGACACAGAAGCTTCGGATACAATTTTAAACTCTATGTTAATTTTGTCATGTAAGCATATCTAAATCAGGCATATTAGGAATGAAACTTTTGTCTACCAATATGAACTATGTCTCTTGACCATTTCCTTTAAACATATACTTAAAATATGAATCCATACCAAAATACTATCTTTAACATGACAAAGACGAAAGAGAAGAATTTGTACTTCTTTAATGATTTTCTTTACCTTGTAAGTTGTCATTCGATGTTGAGCAATTGTAGTCAGTTTTTCTAGAAGGCCTCGTAATCGCTCCTGTGTTGCATGGGAGATCAAGTTCACAGCATCAGAGTTAAGTTCTGTAATGTCATGCTTTTTACCTGTAGAAGCAGAGAAAATCCATTACGTGTTTTAGTAGTGGCTGATAATTGAAATAATTAGCACAGCAGGTATTCTGTTCCCCCTGGAAGTCATACCCATTATGAATAAAGGTTTGGAGATTATGATTTTCCTGGTAAAGTCACAACTTCAAAGATCTTAGACATTACATTAATAAAACCTAGCCTGAAGCCTCAGAAAATATAGACATTGTTTCACTTAGCCCCTAGAATCATTCTCCTTGCAAGGTCATTTATAGGACAAAGTTAATAAGAACACAAATCAAGTCTAGTGTTCAGGGAGGAAAATGGTAACTGCAGAAATTAGTGCCATATTCTGTTAATTTTAGTAATTAAAAAAATAGAAAATTACATTTTGCTCTGTTTGACACCGTTAACAATTTATGACATTTATTTCAATGAATTCAGATTGTGGGTCTCTGTTACTGCCTGTCTACAAGACATACCTACACTTCTTTTGTCCATTACCAATCATGCTTCTTTTGCACTAACTCATGTTCTGATAAATTGACCTGGTAATTAATTTACAAGCTGAAATGGGTTCAAAGCCTTATCATTTCACCCATCCATTTGAATACCTTCTCTTTCAATGTATCTCCTTCCATAAATAAACCAAACTTCTATTCTTCTTTTGGCTAACTAGAAAGAAAGATTCAGGAAAACAACTTGGACCACATACCCAAGGGCAGAAGCTCATTTATAAAAGACCTTATCAGTATTTACATAATAATTCCTCAGCTTAGTGAAACCAACCTGTATCAAGAGAGACCTAAATCTAAAGATATAGCCAATTGTGTAGTCTAATTTAAATGAGCTTTTAATAGTGCTACTGCATTTATTTTTAACAAACATTAACAGTTTGTTTTGCACTCTCATCTAAAACATACTCTTATATACTCATCAAATTATGAAATCAGTATAGCAAAAACAAGTTTTAATTAAAAGCCAACAAATTTTAAATACATTCTTTGACATTATTCCATAATAAATGCTAAACTTCAAAGTGTAAGCTAGAGGGGACACCTGGGTGGCTCAGTCCATTGAGCATCTGTCTTTGGCTCGGGTCATGATCCCAGGGTCCTCGGATCGAGTCCCACATCGGGCTCCTTGCTCAGCGGGAGCCTGCTTCTCCCTCTGCCTACTGCTTCCCCTGCTTGTGCTTTCTCTGTCTCTCTGACAAATAAATACATAAAATCTTAAAAAAAAAAAAAGTGTAAGTTATAGGATGTGAGGGCTATCTGGCTGTGACATCTGTCACACCACTGATCACCAGGGTGGATTCAGTTGATCTGGCTGCCAAGGCGCAGTCCCCTTCCTCTCTCACTGTTCCTTGTGCATCCCTCCCAAAGCTATGTGCTCCCTTGAAAAGAATGATCTTCCTAGATAGAGAAAGGCCACTCTTTGGTCAGGGGTATGCAAGTAGCTGCATTCCCCTATTAGAACCTTCAAAGAAGCTCTCAAGGTCCAAAATGCAGGCTACACTAAACCAGACAGGAAGAAGATATAAAATTATTTAGTTTCTCCTAAGCTAAAACTTCAAAATATAATTCATTACTGTCTAGCAAAACTGAATTCATCACCAATTTTAGATTCAAGCAGGGAAAAAAAACACTACAAAGTCAAATCTACTCTACTAAAATAGGTAGCATACATAAATAGTGAAGGCCTTCTACATAAGGACACAATTTCAAAACCATCCAATGATAAAATTACAACTAAACACAGGGAAGAGAAGAGGGGATGACCTGTTAGTTCATGCTTAAAGGAAAGAAAATGAACATTTAAAAATATGTAGTGTTTTGGGCGCCTGGGTGGCTCAGTTGGTTAAGCGACTGCCTTCGGCTCAGGTCATGATCCTGGAGGCCCGGGATCGAGTCCCACACCAGGCTCCTTGCTCAGCAGGGAGTCTGCTTCTCCCTCTGACCCTCTTCCCTCTCGTGTTCTCTATCTCTCATTCTCTCTCTCTCGAATAAATAAATAAAATCTTAAAAAAAAAAGAATCTTTAAAAAAATATGTAGTGTTTTGGACAGAAACTTTGAAAATAATTTCATATGTATTTATAAAATAGTTTATCCTATGTAGAAAAAAATCCATATTTTAAAAATATTAGAAATAAACAAGGGTAGGGACTTGCAAACAGTTCCAGGGTTTAGTGTCCAAATGTTCTAATATCGTCACTACACTGATAATAAAACATGACAAAGTTACCAAGTTAAAATACTGTAAGAAAAATTCCCACCCTTTTTTTAGATTTTTTTTTCTTTTTCTTTTTCTTTCTTTCTTTTTCTCTCTCTCTCTCACTCTCGCTCTCTCTTTCTTTCTTTCTTTGAAAGAGAGGGGAGAGGGAGTGGCAGAGGGAGAAGGAGGACATGGAGCCCAACACGGGGCCTGATCCCATGACCCTGAGATCATGAACTGAGCCTAAATCAGGAGTCGGGTGCTTAACTGACTGCATCACCCAGGCGCCCCCCAAAATTCCCACTTTTAAATAAAACACTCTAAGTTGACATAACTGATGAAAAAAATCTGGTTGGTGCTTTTAAGCTTGTTACACGATTTTATAGAATGTCCGTGTAATTTAGTTTAGGTAATTAGGAAAAAAGGAAGAACACTGGCATGTTAACTCTCCTAACAGTATTCAAGTAGAAAAATCTTCCCCCCAAAATTCTTTGGGTTGATTTATAATTTCTGTGATTAAGGAACAGTCCTGGTTCTGAGCTGTTCTGTAAAGATGGAATTTTACTATACATGGAAAACATTCCTAGAAATATATAACTACACTCACTCTATAGTTTTATTGTTTTTTAAAAAGGTTAGGTATTTCAGAAGAAATTTTGTAATTTTCCATTATATTAAATGACAAGTTTGTGCTTAATTATTAAGAACTGAAAATACCAAATAGTTACTCCCAGAATTCTCCTTGAAAGCAGAGGTTGGCAAACTAAATTTGATCTCTTTTTGTATATAAAGTTATATATACAAGAATATATATAAAGTTATATATACAAGAATACAGTCTTGCCTCTTTGTGTATGTATTCTCTATGGCTGCCCTTGTAACAGAGTTGAGCAGTAGTGACACAAACCACATGACCCACAAAGTGGCAAATATTTACTATCTGGCCCTTTGCAGAAAAAAACTGCCCATCCCTGTCCTAAATGATCAAATTGTTCTTTCAATGCTAAAAACTTTCCTATCATATAATCAAAGTGTAAGTCAAGCTAGAAATAAAATTTGTCGGGTGAGGGGGTGGGAACTGATAAAGCTAAGTATCTACTTCTTCTCTACCAAAGCTCTAGATAATTACAGGGTTACATGGAGTCAATACCAGTAAGCTTCCCAAGCCATCACAGAAAAGTATCATGCTTGTTCCAAAATTAAGGAACTGGCTCCTGTACAGTACACAATACATATGCAAAAAGAGACTGAAAGACAGAGTAAGAAAAAGAGGGAAGGAAAAAGGAAAAGGAGGGAAGAGGGTGGTGGGGGGAAAAGTCAAACAAAACACAAGCAAACATTTTACCATCAGCTCTTCTGAACTGCTATCCTTTTGAACTGCTTATAAATTCTAGTTTTTCATAATAAAACAAAGATAACAGAGGGGCTCCTGGGTGGCTCAGTCAGTTGAGTGTCCGACAACTGATTTTGGCTCAGGTCATGGTCCTGAGTCCCACTGCTGGACTCAGGGCAGAGTCTGCTTGAGATTCTCTCTCTCTCTCTGTCCCTCTCCCCACACACGCACATGCACTCTAAAATAAATCTTAAAAAAAAAAAGATAACAGATACCCAAGTTATGTTAGAAATGAAAAAAATGGTAATTTGTATAGTATATAGTAGGAGCTCAAACATTTCTTTATTATTTTGTGAACTAGATTTAAACTATGTAATAGTAATGTACTTTGTAGTCCTTAAAAATATTATGGGTGTAAATCAGAAATCAGAAACCTTCACATTTTTGTGTTAGGGCTTCAATATAAAATACAAAGATCCTTACTAAAGTATACTCAAAGGTCACTAGTATTAACCTCCCAAATTTGATATGGGTCATGAAGAAGGTACTCCAAGAAGTCCCAGGGTTAGGACACATGAAATGAGATAACTCACATGCAATAATCTCTCTCCAAACTGTCTTGCTTTTCAGTCAGTGTGGGGAGGAAGTAGTCTTTCATGTTTCTGCAAGTTTGGTATTAAACAAGAAAAAAGCTGTGTGGCTCCAGAACAAAACTGGAACATTCTCTTCCATTTCCTTCTACACACACTAGGCAGCCACCTATTAACTACTCAGTGGACCTAGGGAGAAACCTAGTATTTTAATTTAGTTCTTTTAGGGTAAAGACGAGTTTGAATTTCAGGGTTGAGAGAAGAAAAAAGGGACTTACTCTCCATTTCTATGTTTCACAATACTTGGAATTTTCTAGATTTCATAAACATGAACTTGTAACGTATGCATGCATTTGTATACATATGTGCCTAGTCCAACAAAGAAAGGAACAGGACAGGAAAAAAAAACCCCAGTACATCATATGTACAAATTCACGTAAAGTAAAAATATACACATATTTCTCCCACTAAGAAATAAAAGTAAAATATTAACTTCTATTATCCAAACCAGAAACCACAGGTTATGATTTAAGTTATGTTAATAGTTTTTAAAATGAAATACTTCTTTCTATAACACCCATGAAATCCTGATTATTTCCAGAGCCTTATTTAAGTCTGAGTTCCAGGGAAACCAATCCACACTGTCTCTTTTGATAACACTTTCCCTGGAACAGACAGTCCTCTTAGGTCAATAATCTTAAGTCTGCACTTACCAATGTCTAATATTCTCTTTTGCAGAGCTCCAATGAAAAGAAATGGTTCATCTTTACATGACTGAACAAGTGTGCCAACCAATTCAGAGTTTGTTGCTAAGATGCAGGCATTTTCTTCACTGAGGTTGACCCCTGCCATGGAAGTCACATCATTGATGTCATCTTCATCTCTGAGACGAAAAGAAGATAGCTTTTTGGTGGTGGTAGTGGTGGCTGGTGATGTGTATATGAATGATTTAAGAGAACAAAGAATTATAGATCTCTCCTTATAACTGAAGACATTATTTTAACTCAATTCATCCAAGCAAGAGAACTGAAGAATAGCTATCTTTCCCTGGAAGCCTTTAAAAATTAACTGGTGTGTCTAACCACTAGTGTACATTTAATATCAGAGAGATGAATCTGAAGCAACTCTGTCTTCTAGTGCCCATATTTCCATCTTTCAGTTTAGTAAATGGATACACCAACCGGGACTTTGGGGCTTAAACTAAGTTATCCACAAATGCCCTGCAATGAGAGACAAAGTAACAAAAACAGACTTCTTTGTTTTCGTCCAAGATGATTAAAAGCCCGTCAGATTTCCCCAGTGCACTCTACTGTTCCACTGAGGATCAGGAGAAATCCGCTGATCCTGAAAGATCTATACCCACATAAAGACCCATAAGAAGAAGGTTTCTTGACTAGTTATTCTGAAACCAAATGGTTAAAACTAGTTTTGATTTTCTGCTTCAAACTTTTGGTGTGTTCCACCTGTACCAATTGAATTTATTAAACCACATCCTCAAGCAAATGGCTGCAAAGGGTCTACATATAAAATTACACACACATACACACACACACACACTGATATATATATATATATAAAAAATATATATATATATAAAAAAAAATATATATATATATATATATATATATATGAAACAAAACATGTTTGAGCTCCTTGCATTGCACCAGCAAAATTAAATAGTTGTTTTTGTCTAACAGGATTGCTACATGGCTACAGTGCTAAGATTAGTATATATGTTTAAGGATCGAGAAGAAAAAGAAAAAAGAAATACAAAAATTCCCTCACAGTATCCTTATCACCATATGTAATAACAAGCACATTACTGATCATAACTCACCTAACCAATGCATAACGTAATTTACACAAACACGATTACATAAAAAAAGATGTTGCTTCTCTTTATTGCATGGGCCAAATGGTATATCATGTGGTCTCACGTCAATAGATTTAAATTATGGAACTCCCTGTGGTAATGCATTTGTGCACAAGAAAGGGAAATAAATTATAATTGTCAAGCACTCAAGAAATGAAGTCCTCTGGTGTTCCACTTTAAAAAGCAACACATTCGGGGTTAAGGGGAAAGGGCCCATGTTCAAACATAAGAGATTAAAAAAAAAAAACTACATAAAAGAAAGAAAGAGCTAGACACAGCAGCTGAAAGTGAAGAGACAGAACAATGGTCTTATAATCTGAACAGCAGATTTAAAAGCCTAACGTTAAAAGGTGTGTCTTTACAAAGAGAAGAAAAATTTAAATTTAGTATCTCAAACCACTTAAATAAAACATGCAGTACAAAGAAAGTATACTGAAATGGTTGGACTCCACCTTATCAAATGTCACAGAGGTATTGTCAGAAGTATGGATGCTGAAAATGACTCTGAGAATCATTCTGCCACCTATGTAAATAAAGTATTTCCAGAAACATCTAAATACGTAAACATCTAAAGTGTAAGAATGGTAAAAACCATAAACCCAAAGATGGACCAAGACCCAAGTAAAAAAAATAAAAGGTCTGAGTAAAAAATATTTTTAAAAATCCATGTCTCATGGGAGCCTGGTGGGCTGAGTTGGTAGAGCATGTGACTCCTGATCTTGGGATCGTGAGTTGGAGCCCCATGTTGGGGGTAGAGATTACTTTAAAAAAACCAAACCAAAACAAAAACCCCACCACGTGTCAAGAGAATGAAAAGACAAGCCACAGAGTGGGAGAAAATATTTGCAAAAGACATCAGATAAAGGATTATTATCCAAAATATACAAAGAATTCTTAAAACTCAACAATAACAAACAAACCAATTAAAAAACTGGCCAAAGTCCTAATAAAAAAGATGTACAGATGGCAAATAAGCATATAAGGCATATGCTCCACATCCTTGTCATCAGAGAAATGCAAATTAAAATGAGATACCACTATACACCTAATAGAAAAGCCAAAATCCTAAACACTGAGAACATCAAATGCTGATGAGGATGTGGAGCAACAGGAACTCTCATTCACTGCTGGCAGCAATGCAAAATGGTATAGCCACTCTGGAAGACAATTTGGCAGTTTATTATAGAACTAAACATACTTTTACTGTACAACCCATCAATCACATTCCCTGGTATTTACTCAAAGGAGTTGAAAATTTATGTCCACACAAAAACTTATACATGGATGTTTAGAGCAGCTTCAGAGATAATTGACAAAACTTGGAAATAGCCACAATGTCCTTCAGTATCTAAGTATATAAATAAACTGTGATACATCCAGACAATGGAGCATTAAGTACTAAAAAGAAATGAGATGTCACACCATGAAAAGACACAGAAAGGAACTTAAATGCAAATTATTAAGTGAAAAAAGCCAATCTGAAAAGGCTACATACTGTATGATTCCAACTACATGACATTCTGGAAAAGGCAAACTTTTGCCTTTTGGAAGCAGAGCACAGAGAATTTTTTTTTTAAATTTTTTTATTGTTATGTTAATCACCATATATTACATCATTAGTTTTTGATGCAGTGTTCCATGATTCATTGTTTGTTCATAACACCCAGAGAGCACAGAGAATTTTTACAGCACTGAAACTACTCAGATTTGATACTACTCAATGTTGGATACACATCATTATAAATTTGGGTTTTTTTTTTTTAGATTTATTGATTTATTTGAGAAAGAGAGAGAGAGGAAGCAGGGGGAGGGGTAGAGTGAGAGGGAGAGGGAAGCAGGTTCCCTGCTGAGTTTCCCTGCTAAGTGTGGAGCCCAATGCAGGGATCAATCTCATGACCCTGAGATCATGACCTGAGCTGAAACCAAGAGTTGGACGCTTAACTGACTAAGCCACCCAGGTACCCCTCACTATACATTTGTTAAAACCCATAAAATGTACTACACCAATAGCAAACTGTAAACTATGGGCTTTGAGGCTTAATGACTTGTCAGTGCAGTTTTGTCAACTGTAACAAATGGACCACTCTGACAGGGGATGTTCATAATGACGGAAGCTATGCATGTGTGGGATTAAGGGGAATTCTCTGTATCTTCCAAATCAATTTTGCTGTGAACCTGACCTGCTTTACTTTTTTAAAAAAGATTTTATTATTTATTTGAGAGAGAGAGAGAGAGAACATAAGTGGGGGGGGTGCAGAGGGAGAAGCAGACTCCCCGCTGAACAGGGAGCCCAATGAGGGGCTGGATCCCAGGACCCTAGGATCACAACCTGAGCCGAAAGCAGATGCTTAACCTACTGAGCCACCCAGGCACTCCGAACCTAACCTGCTTTAATAAACAAAACCTATCAAAAAAAAAATTAAAAAAAGGTCCACTACACATCAATGAAGAGCTAGTTCACTACAAAACAGAAACCCGGTTACCTAACATCTTAAGGATTCCAATTTTTCCTTTAAAAACATGAGTAACGTAGGGACGCCTGGGTGGCTCAGTCATTAAGCGTCTGCCTTAGGCTCAGGTCATGATCCAGGGTCCTGGGATCGAGTCCCACATCAGGTTCCCTGCTCAGTGGGGAGCCTGCTTCTCCCTCTGCCTGTGCTCGTTTGTTCTCTCTCTGACAAATAAATACAATCTTTAAAAAAATTATAGAAAGAAATAAAAAATGAGTAACTTAGATCAGGTGCTTTTTAAAATCCCTCTCAGCCACTTAAAAGAATGAGGCAGTTCTCTTTGACCTGATACAGAACAACTGCCAAGATATACTGTGAAGTGGGGAAAAAAAATGAGGTAAAGAGACTGCCCCTTGGGAAACACACACACACACACACACACACAGAGCATAATACATCTCTGGAAATATACATGAGGAATTCTCCTCTGGAGAGGGAAACAGGGAAGTGGAGATAAGGTAGACTTATTTTATAACCACAGTATACTCTTTTCTACCTTTTGAATGTTGCACTATATACATGGATTACCAATCAAAATGATGAGTGATATTTAAAAATAGTAAATAAATATTTAGGAAAAGAAAACTGGAAATAGAAAATATGATGAAATTTAGACATAAAACCCCAATATTCCCTTAAAAAGAAAATCAGAATTATTTAAGATACACAAAACATGGCCTTTACACACAGGCACACAACACTGAATGTTTACAATCTCAGATGTGTATCAGGTACACAAGCACTAGAAACTGCAAATTGCTCCCATAGGAGGGTTCCTGCATAACCCCTATTGAGATCTCACACACAGGCTGGAAAGACCAGTACCAAGCATACTTAGTACCAGTACTTAGCATAGTACTAGAATTGAACAGAATTCATCAATGAGGAGACAGTCCCAGGTTTCTAAGAATCTTCTTGCAGCCCCTCTCTGAAATATGCAAGGAACTAACTGCCCAATAAAACTGTTCTTGCCTGGCTTCCCTCCTCCTATTTGGCCCTAAGCTGAACACAGCTCCCTCTAGTACATCTGTCAGTTGCTATGGTTACAGAGGGCAGCAGGAATAGAGGAAGACCCCCACTGAGGGAAGAGGAAAAGGTGCCACAATAAACAGCACCCAAGCCATTTAAAACTTCCTCAAAGTAAGGAGGCAGACAAAAGGGGAAAAAAAAGTCAACACAATGTAGTAGCAGCATTACCAATAAGGCTAAGATAGGTCAGGAGACAGTATCAAAGTCGTTGATGTTGAAGCATAGTTGTGAGAAGAAAATGAGAGTCTAATGCAGTGTCTTTTGATGAATGTACTGTGCAAAATAATCAGTTTTGTTTTAAAAGATATACAAAAAGGAAATTTATTTTTATTATTTTTAAAGATTTTATTTGAGAGAGAGAGCACATAAGCAGGGGGAGCAGGAGAGGAAGAAGGAGGCTCACTACTAAGCAGGGAGCCTGATGCAGGACTCGAACCCAGGACCCCGGGATCATGACGTGAGCTGAAGGCA